AACCGTAATCTGTTGCGATAATTGTTCAATGATTGCAATTTGCGGAACCAACAGCCGAGAGCACAGCTCACAAGTCATGCGACAATCGGACTGACGCAGGGATTTAACTCAGTTGATGTCACTGGAAGGTAAAGATTTTCGACCCAGAGACCAAGCAACAATCGGCTCAGTGAAGGCCGGTCGGTCGAGCGCCGCTTATGAAATTCCGATACAAGGGCAGTGTAGCGAAGGAGATGATGACTGTATTCATGGCCAAAACGGTCATTTGGCTACCGTACCGCAGAGCACAGACATCGGAGATTGGTACCCCACACACTGTCTGTCGAAATTGCTGGATGCTGTTGTCAGGTGTCGTTCAAGGACTCAGGCACGACGGAACTCGTCGCACCATGACAACGTGAATGCCTACAGGTCTCACGTCGTCAGCGATTTTTTGGCTCGAAAACGCATCTAGGTCGGTCATCAACCCTATAGTCGAGACCTGGCTCCGTGTGGCTGTTTTGTGTCCCCAAATTTCAAGCGCATGATGTGTAGAATACGATATGATTCACCAATAGTGGACGCCTTCATTGAACTGGCCGAAGGGTTACCCGCTACGGCATGGTCGAGCTGTTTCACCAAATGGTTCGAGCGCAAGTAACTGTGCAGAAACGCTGATGGAGAATACTTCGAGAAAATGTAATGCTTCTTTTTGTGCAACAGCCGGAAAGCTTTGTGCATCCGGAAGCGTTTTGCTCAGTTCTGGTACATCGTTCTTCAGGTGATGGAGATAAACAAACAGCTTTTGCACGCGATGCAACACTATGAAGACAGGGAAACGATGAATCTGACGGAAGTAATTATAGCAATCTTAAAGGAAGCAGAAAAATTTGTTTCGAGACCGAGTGACTAGAAAATTGAAGTAATTTGCAAGCGAGGGAAAGATGTGTGGAAGAGGAAACACGACACAATAGACGAACTAAACAACTTGCCTGATCTGCGGGTGGATATATCGGAGTCTTGCCCGCGCGTTCTGTCATGATAAAATCAGCCAGCACTCGAAACTTGGGTGAGAGGATCTGGTTTTCCAGCACACAAAGCCATTCCGGATCCAGTGCTTTGATCAGCTCCAGCACAGAACGAGAAGCATCGGTTGAAAGTTTACGTTTCAGTTCGGCCACATGTTTGTTTGTCAAGGCACGCGCGATTGCCGGGTCGGATTTGCCCAAAACATTGTTCAAATTCAGCTTCCCATTTTCAGAATCCTGTTCTGTACCATCAGATGGATGGACGGTCGAATGGAATGGGAGTAAAAACGAATGAGAGACAAGTGTAAGTGATCGGTGCGGTATACAGGCGTATAAGATATAACTTGATCACATCCTAAGTTTAAACAAGGAAACATCTCGATAACTGTTGGTGATAAAAATATTATTAATAATGTCATTGCCATAACTGTGTGCCCCAGATTAGAAAGAACTGAACTGAAACAGGCTGACTAGGATTAGGTGAACACAGTTAACAGAGTCAATCAGTGAAATACAAATCGATAATCATTAGGCTTGTCAATACTGGGGTAAGGTCGACAGCGAAACCGAACGTTCACGTGAAACACGATGCGAGGGAGATACGGCCCGGTTTGAGCGCTTACCGCAGTCATCAACTAGAAAAATGGGCACCAAAACAGTTCTGATTACTTTGAGGGCTCAGTGGTGAAGAAATCCAAACAGTGCTCATCAACCCATCGGATTGTGGGTCTCGTTTATGATAGATCTTGTGTTGCCTAACTAACTACCGATTATAACTCCACAAAAAGTACACCTTTTTGTCATCAGTGGTTCAAAAATATAGCACATCTTTACACATACGGCAGATTTGTTTTCTCACAACCACCTGAACGGATCGGTGTTGATCACCTTCACGTGCACTGCTAGAAAAAAAACTAACATCTGGTAGCAGATGTGCGACAGATAACATTAACTATCACTCGGATAGAAGAAAACTTTGTTTATCGATAGAAGGGAATCACCATTTTGGTGAACCGTTTTCACCCACTGATTGATTTGGTTTGGATGCACAATGAGTAGCAACACTAGAAATATGGATAATCGAAGCTAGTAAGGTCATGTTTTCACGTGAGGCAGCAGTTACCAGCACAGGATCGATAGAAAACGAACAACGAACGTGCTCACGATTCTTGGACACGTATCACAGGTTCTGACTATGCGAACCCATTCAACATGATACGTGACCTCGATTGTGGCACAAAAACGCACGCACCCACATGCAATCTTCCAAGAGTATTCTACGTTTG